AAAAAATATATAATTTAAAAAAATACTTAATAATATAACTAAAAAAACAAATAGAAATAAAGTGCAAGTAACTGCTATACAATAACAATAAAAACATAATATTGAGATATAGCTTGTTGGAAATAAAAAAATATTCAATTATCAAAATATTAACAGCAAAATAAAATCAAAATTGATAAAAAAAAAATGATTAGCAAATCAACAAATAAATAAAAAAATCATCAATTATATGATCGTGATATATAATACATTCTAAATAATTTAATAATTAACAAATATTTAATTGTAATTATTAACTTTAAATAATACAAGCAATATATCAATGAAAATTTAATAAAAAATCTTTATTATTAATAGTATAATTATAACAATCAACAATACAATAATTGATTTTTGTTGATTTTGTAATATTATAACTAAATAATTAAAATTTATATTAATTTTTTTAATTTTTTTTTAATTTTTTTTCAATTTTGATTCAATATACCAATAGAATATTTTAATTTATTAATTTTTTCCTTTATATTATTTTTGTTAAATTTACTTGTTAAATAATTAAAAATATCTAAAGGTGTTGAAGAAATACTAGTTAATAAAATATTATATACAGTGAGATACCATATTATTGTGAACAATTTTTTTTCTTTAATTATTCAAAAATAAACAAATAAATATAATATAAAAATTTTACCATATATTTAATAGATATTAAAATATAATGTATTAAAATTTCATCCAATTTTATTTTGTATTACAAAAGTTATATGAAAATAATGTCAAGCTACTTTTTTAGATTAAATATAAAATAGATTTGAACTTTTTTCTTTCTTTTTTTTTTCTTTTAATTTTTTTTTTTTGAAATCATATCACAAAATTTTTCTTGATGTTCTGGAACACCTGAACAACGTTTGTAACACTTGTAACACTTGGGCAATGCCACGTTGTCCTAAAAAAGGTTGGATTGGCACAATTAGATTGATTATCGAACATCGTCTCAAACAATGGGCAGTAAGAAGGACCTAACTGAGAGACAGAAAGGCTCAATAATTTACGGTCACCTGAGAAAGGATTCGGTCCATGCCATTGCGGCCACTGTTGGTTGTGGTAAGTCTGCTGCATGGAATGTTATAAGAAAGTTTCGTGAGACAGGTACCTTAGAAAAAAAAAATGTCCTGGGCGCCCTAGGATCCTTACCTCTTCTGATCATGCCGGCCTTAAGAGTTTGGTTGTTAATGGAAATCGCCGTCTCAACCTAACCCAAATTATTAATCTTTTTAACCTTCAGGAAAAAAAAAAAAGTTTCGAAATCTACCGTTTGTTGAGCATTGTGTAAAGAAAACTTAAGATCTTGCTTTGCTCACCCCAAACCGTTTGTCTCCCTCCAAAATGCAAAAAAAAGGCTTGATTGGTGCCTTGCCCACAAAAATTAGACTATCCAAAACTTTCGTCATATCTTATGATCTGACGGAACTACTGTTCACCTTTTTCAGAGTTCCTCTGATAGAGTTTGGTGTGAACCACACGAAGAATGGGATATTGAGTGTTTGAATGGTACTGTCAAGCAATCTCAGGGTTGCATGTATTGGGACTGCTTCTCATGGTTTGGAATTGGGCCTCTCATTTCATTGAAGTCTGCTGCCACAGGTGCTTCACATACCGAAATTCTTCGAAAGTATGTCTTGCCAGTCCTACAGAATTTTTCAGAAATTATGGCTCATGGGCGCTCACTTTTTCAGCAGGATAATGCGAGGCCACATACCGCCACTATAGCCATGGAATTTATTAACGAAAACAGAATTCGCAAAATGGATTGGCCCCCCCAAAGTCCAGACCTCAATCCGATAGAGAACCTTTGGTCCAAAGTAAAAAAATCTGTATGCCAGAAGCAAAAACCAACTAACCTCCGTGATCTCGACGTTCTTGTTAAAAGAGCATGGTACGACATACCACCTGAATATTGTCGTAAGCTTATTAAAAGTATACCCAATCGTGTTGCCGCTTGTATAGGGGCTAATGGAGAACCTACGAAGTACTAAAATCTAATTAGTTATGATTTTTTTTTAAAAAAAAATAATAATTATAAAAAAAAAAAAAAACTTTTTATATTTTTAAAAAAAAAGTAAGTTGTAGTTTTTTTTAAATAACTTTTGGATCATTAAATAAAATCATATAAAATTTTAATGTGACATATTTTACTATTTATTTAATATGTAGTAAAATTTTTATATCATTTTTATATATGTAATTTTAAGTAATTAAAAGTAAAAAATTATTCACAATAATATGGTATCCCACTGTATATGAGTTAATGCATCTTGGATTTTTTCTATGTTGAATTTCTAGTTACTTCTAATAATATTAACTTGGTTTTAGAAGAGATGAAGTATATAGTTGAGATTACTGTCTAGAACTTTCTTTTTTTATGCTTGAAGCAAGATTATTTCTCTCCTAATATTGAAAGAAGTCATTAAGGTTGTTTTGAATTTTGCTTTTACAGTTGTTAATAATTATTGAGACTATTGTGTGTAGTTGAAGAAAATTGAAGTTGCTTGTTACTTGCTTTAAACTAATAAAAATAATGTTCACTTATGATTAATTACTGCTATTTGAATTTTGTAGAGGAGCAATTCAGAATTTAAAAAAGTTGTCTAAAAGTAAAATGAAAATATTTTTTGCTGGTTCAGTAATTTGGATGATGTTTAAGTTGCTTTCCTTATATACTACAGAAAAAAAATATTCATTTGGGTTTGCTACTATGATATCTAAAAAAATATAAGATAAGTTTGATGTTTGCCCTTGGAAGAGGAGTCTTCAAGAATATTTATTGTTTTACTTCTCATAATAATTTTACTAGTTACTAAAAAAGAAAATTTTTAAGTAATGCAAGATTTTTAAAAAAGAGTTTTTATAGTTATTTATAAATTTTTTTCTATATATAAATTAACTTGATATGGTAATAAAATTATATTAATATAAAAAACATATTAATAATATTTAAATTAATAATATTAAATAATTTTTACCTAGAAGCTACATATTGTAGAGATGTAATGGCAAGTCAGTTGCTTAAAATAACATAATTTTGTGTAATTGTGAATAGAATAAGTAATATTTAAGGTGAAGAAGATGTGTTTTGATTTGATTGAATAATTTATTTTTTTTTGTTTATAAAGGCTAGTATGGTTATACTTTAAGAATAATAATTAAGCTAAATTTATATTACATAAGTTTTTTAATTATCTTTCTTTTTCCTATATTAAATAATTGTGCACTGCTAATCAAAAACATATTTTTTGCCATATCTCTTGCAATGATCAATCATATGAGATGCATTATATTTCAACTCACTCTCTTACAATATATAGATTTATTATTGATAACTATTGCAAGAATTTTAATATCTTATTTATTTAATTTATTTATAAAAAATTTGATATAATTTATTTATTTATCTGATTTTATATTTTATATATAATATTGTTTCATTAATTAAAGGAAAAAGTTACTTTTTGATAAGCTTATTTAATATTCTTGTTTATATTATTCATCATAATTTAAAAATTTAAATTAAATACTTTACATTTAAGTAATTAGATAAAAGAGTAAATATATTTAAATACTTTAATATATTCTATATTTCAATTCATTTAAATGTCCAACTATTTGATATAATTATATTTAATATAAGTTGTTCTGCTAAAAATTATTAAAGAATCCAATTATATAATATTATTTCATTATAATTTGAATAGAAGTTAAAATTTTTAATTATGTGATAGAAAAATCTAAAAAAATGAAATAGTATTACTAATTATTATAAAAAAAAATTATTATTATTATTTAGTTTGTTTAAAAAATATTGCTATAATATTATAAATATCCAAATAAACTAAATTTTTATTAAAGTTTGAATTATTATAAATATCCAATATTTTCTTTACTTTTTTTTATTCATATTTTTTAAGATAATTTTTTACTGATTCTTTTTTATTTTGAAATTTGATATAATTTATATCTTATTAGATGATTTTCTTTTTTTATAAGAAAAACAAGCACAATAATAATTAACTGAAATGATTTTTTCAAGATAAAATTTATATAAAATCTGTTAAACAGTGTGATTATTGATCGTCAGTATGTTTTTTTATGTAAACTAGATAAATGGGAACCATTAAAGTCTAAAGGATTATCATTAACACATACATAGGGCTTCTAACAATACTACTTCGATACTATTTCTAGAGTTCCGAAAAAGTACTGAACTGGTATCGAACTTATATCAAAATGGTATAGATCTATAGTAAATTTAATATATGGGTTGTGACCTACTCATATGTTTTTATAGTAAATTTAAGTATCGAACTGGTATTGAAGTGATATTATTAGGAGCCCTAATTTGGAGGATTTGGTAAATTGAAAAAAAAAATTTTATGTTTAAAACTATAAAACTTAATAATAAATAATTTATTGTAATAATTTAAGAATTTATTCATTATTTAAATTGCTGTTCTAATTCTTTAAAATCTTTATATAAAAATATATTAAAATGCTTTTTTTTTAATAAAAAGTAAAATATTAAAATGTTAAATTTAAATTTTATTTTATTTAAATAATTATTTATAATATAATAATAAATATATATAGGTACATATTTTAATAAAGTCGAAGCATACTTTGTTACAAATAAATTATATATAAATATTTATATTAAATTTCTAATGAATAATAAATAAATCTTTTCAAAAACCAATATTTTGCAAGACAGTAATAGTTTACATTATATTATTACAATCTTAATTAATATGCATTATAAATGGTAAATGCGGTTTATAAATTTTTGAAGACTAGTAATAACAAAGAACTGCAATTATGTATCAAAATATTTAAATTTAAAGAATATAACTGACATATAAATACCCATTGATTTAATATATAAAATATTGGATATATTTGTTGCCATTCCAATCTTTACGGTCACAACTGCTCAAATAAAATTCCCACTAGAAGTCCATATCCACTCCTACACCACCGGCATTTCCAACCGGAATATTGCTTTCTCTCGTAGATGCGATGCCCATTTGCTGTTCTTCCATTGGCTTCTGCTCTCTGGGTATCACCAATGCTCTTGCGCGGCCAAGTTCTTCCTGTTAATAAAGATCCATTAAATCGAGCTAAAAATAGATCTTTGAAAGAATCCGTAAAGACGTACCACAAATTTTTGCTTAAGGTAACTGACTTCTGTAATTAGATCATTTAACGCCTTTGCTACCATCATTTCAGGTTTAGTGTCAACAGTAGTTTGGACCTTCAGTATAACATTATATTCTAAAGGATGAGGGACTTTATATCCAGCAAAAGTGACCTGTGGTTCTTCCAAAAGTTTGCTATATAGTTAACAAATATAAGTAAAATGTAAAAATAATGAGATTGGAGAAAAAAGTACAGTTACCTTCGAATCAAATTTCCCATGGTGTGATCCTCTCTTAGAATATCAAAAGTTGCTCCATTTTCGACCTTAGGATCTGGGGTGATCGTCATTCTGTAATGAAAAAAAAATTAATTAAGTTGTTATAGTTTAATTGATAATAAGAAACTTTACTTTTTCGCTCCCTCAGGGAGGCAAAATTGTTCACCACGATCTGGCGCGTTCATATTGTTGAAGTTTGAAACCGAATTAGCTTAAGCTATGTCATAAATATATTATGTCGATCAAATTCATGCATAAGGGCTTTTTTGATTATAACACGTGATTAAAGAACATTAACCTGATATTAACATTTGTAGGCTAAAGTGTAATACATGTTTAATTCATAGGATTTATCATACCATTTTAATAGAAAAAAGAAAACAACAAGTTTATAATATACAGTGTGTAACAAAATTAATGGTACTATATATCAATTTTTATTTTTATATTTTAATAAAGTTTTTAAAATATATTATTATAATTTTCTTAAAATTATTTAAAAAATAATTGATATTAATTATATTATAAAATAGAAATAATAAAAATATTTTTCATTTATAACTTTTTTCTTAAAAATTTCTTATTTTAGTAATTATCTTTCAAAATTAAAAAAACAAATATTTTTTTTACCTTTCAACTTTCCAAAGTCCTTTACATATCTTTTATCTTCATTACAAGAATCTTAAAGAAATTAAAAAAGTATATTAATACATTAGAATAAAATCTTTGGCCAAAAAAAAACAAGTTTGGAGGTTTTGCTTTTTTTTTTAAACTGTATAAGGAAAGACCTATGGCAGTTATTTCTTTATAAATCTTTCTTGAAGTTCTTCCTATTTTTACTTTTTATTAATATATATTTCTTATTAAATAATTATGTACTTTTCTTAAAAATCTTCTTAATAAATCAAAAAATCAAATTATATATTAAAAATATTTATATTATTGACTTGGAAAACCAAAAATATATTTATTGTTTACTTCTTACCATCACCTAGCATATTTTGCTATATCACAAAAAACACAAAACTTTTTTTCAAAAATATTTTTACAAAAAAACTGCAATCAGTTTATTTCTATCAATTAATTAATATTTCAAAATCAATTAATCAAACATTATCAATTATTTAAATAAATTCATATTATTAAAACATTACATATTAATCAATATAAACAAAATATTATTTGACAACAACTATCAAAACAAAATCATATTATCAATAAAAAAAAACAATTATATTATTAACAAATAAACCAATCACTAATTATATTAACAAAACAATAATACAATTATTACAATTAATCAATTATTAAAAAAATATATTATCAACATTATTGTATACTTTGAATAGTAGCCTGACTATTTGTAATAAATGTATATATACTGTACTTAAGTTAAATATAAATTACCTGCTTCTTTAAAGTATTTTTAGCTTTATAATTAGTTTTTTTATATCTAGTTTTTTACTTATCATTTTTTTTTTTTTCAATGTTTACTTCTTATAATCTTTTTATATAAAAATCTGAGTAGGTATATATAGCTACTTGGTACTATCTTTGATAATATATTGGTTTTAATATTTCTTTTCCTTTGAAACTTAAATGGTTTACTATAGACAAGTTAGTATTAAATTCACTAATTAACTGGTTACATGAAAGCTGTTATTACTTTCTTTATATATAAATTTTTTATAATTTTACAATTATAATAAAGTAACAATGTTTATCTACTTAAAAAAAAAAATTATTAAAATTATTTCAATGTATAGATTTGTTAAATAAAAGTAATAATAATAATAATATAATAATTATTATTTTTTTATTAAGTACAAAAAATTATTTAATAATTAATATAACTTAAAATTTGATTGAATTTTATTAAAAAATATAAAATTTATATTTTTTATTAATCTAATTTTTTTTAATATTAAAGTAAAATCTTACTTATCATTTTTATTAATAAAATAAAAATTTAACTTGTTATATAATTAATAT